GTCTGGAATGCTCCTCCTTCCGATATTAGGCCGACATCATTGCTATGCACTTTTAAAGGAACTATATTGAAAACTCTATTATTATTCAGAACTGCATGTTGTGTTTAGTTTGTTGTCCTTACCCGCCCTACGTATGGTGCGAAAAAAGTTCAACATAAATACACACATACGGGCCCCCACCACCCATCCATTACCAATCCCCTCACCCCCTCCCTCCAACTCCCACCGCTAGAAAGCTTTTAAGTCCCACACCCGTTCCCGATTATTCCCGAGGCAAGCGCCGCTCCAACCAGCCACCACTCTAACGTCTCCCAGAAGCAGACGGGGCTCGCTCAGCTCCTTGGCCATAAACGACGTTGAGCCCAGCACTCGGGCGGCGAGTCATCTTGAAGGCACGCACGGCAGCCATGCCCTCCGTGCGCGTGCCAGCGTGCGCGTCTGCATGTGCCCTGGGGTGTGCGTGTTGCAGCAAGCACGCTGAGCTACGAACCCGGTGGAGCCGAGTTCGATTCCCGTTCACGGCCAACACCAGGGATGATTAACCGAACTGATCATGGGGCCTCTCTTAGGTCAAGTCAGCCTCAAATGAGTAGCTGGAGCGGTGTGTAAATATTGGCACGAGGGAGACAAAGGTGGCCGGGCGTGGTGCTGGCCACCCCCTCGTGTGCCGTTCCGGCCTTCATTAGGTGCTTGCTAACAGAACTTGCCCCAACAGTCTGTTGAGGCTATACGGGGGATCTTTGTCTTTGTGCGGTCCCGCGGTGGTTAGCACGCGACCTAAGCTACGCCACTTACAATTTCCGGCCACGGTTAACATCGGTGGCGATCATCCGAATTGGGCCTGGGCCTCCTCCAGGTTGACTCAGCCCGAAGCGAGAACCCGTAGCGCGCACACACAACAGCAACGGGGAGGACAAAAGGCGGCTCCCCCCCACCCCCCGGTTCTGGCCACGCCAACAACTTCTCTGTGCGCCACGCCGTCCTTCCCGGCTAACAGCACTTGCCCCGACAGTCCGTCTCGGCTATACGGCGATTTTGTCCGCCCCCCCCCCCCCCCACACCTATCTCCCCCCCCCCCCACCTATCTCCCCCCCCCCCACCTATCTCCCCCCCCCCCACCTATCTCCCCCCCCCCCACCTATCTCCCCCCCCCACCTATCTCCCCCCCCCACCTATCTCCCCCCCCCAACCGATCTCCCCCCCACCCACCTATCTCCCCCCCACCCACCTATCTCCCCCCCCCCACCTATCTCCCCCCCCCCACCTATCTCCCCCCCCACCTATCTCCCCCCCCACCTATCTCCCCCCCCCACCTATCTCCCCCCCCACCTATCTCCCCCCCCCCACCTATCTCCCCCCCCCCACACCTATCTCCCCCCCCCCACACCTATCTCCCCCCCCCACACCTATCTCCCCCCCCCCACCTATCTCCCCCCCCCCCACCTATCTCCCCCCCCCCACCTATCTCCCCCCCACCTATCTCCCCCCCCCCTACCTATCTCCCCCCCCCACACCTATCTCCCCCCCCCACACCTATCTCCCCCCCCACACCTATCTCCCCCCCCCACACCTATCTCCCCCCCCCACCACACACCTATCTCCCCCCACTACACACCTATCTCCCCCCCCCACACCTATCTCCTCCCCCCCACCACACACCTATCTCCCCCCCCACACCTATCTCCCCCCCCACCACACACCTATCTCCTCCCCCCCACGCCTATCTCCCCCCCCACCACACACCTATCTCCCCCCACCACACACCTATCTCCCCCCCCCACACCTATCTCCTCCCCCCCACCACACACCTATCTCCCCCCCCCCACACCTATCTCCCCCCCCACCACACACCTATCTCCTCCCCCCCACGCCTATCTCCCCCCCCACCACACACCTATCTCCTCCACCACACACCTATCTCCTCCCCCCCACGCCATCTGCACCTGTTTGGACTTGAAAGGCCAAAGTCAGCTCGCAGTGCTGACAGCAGCCACGGTGGGACTCGGTGCCGCGGGGGCTGGAGGGAACGTACCGGAGCGATTCCACAACACTCGCCTGGGCACGATCGAGGCGGAGGGGGCGGGAGGGCGGCTTTTAAAAGTGCCGCTGTAACCCCGCGATGAATGCTCTCGCGCTTATCAATAATGATATAATGATAATGTACAGTAAAACCTCGTTATTTCGGGATTTGATCATTCGTGAATGGGGATCACTCGGCACGGCAGCACTTTCGGCATATATATATACGGTGTATTGGCAATTCGCCACGAGCCGAACTGCCGTACCGAACGACCAAAACACCGACTCGGTCTGGTGGCGGTGCGCGTGGTGAGCGTCAGTGCAGACCCGTCGCTTTGGACTTTACCTTGTTTGTGCACTCTGTGTAAGCCAACCCTCTCATAAATGTCGTCTACACCCACATCAAGCAGTAATAGAAAGGGACTGAAATATAAATCCCTTAGTCTGCGAGACAAATCCAAGGTTCTGGATAGAGTCGATGCAGGGCGTGTGTCAATGCGTACGGCGTGTGAAGCGCTTGGAAAATAAATTTGGCAAAAAATAAATATGGGGGCAGGAGGCACTGGGGAGTACCGTTGTAAAAAATTCGGAATATTGGATAATTCGGCAAAGCCAGAGCCCCATGTGTGTCGAATTAACAAGGGTTTACTGTAGTTGTAAGGTGCCTTGAACTAATGTCTCAAGGCGCCTTGTAAGAATAAGGAAAGGGCCAAGAGAGACGGAGGAGCTAAATAGAATAAACTAAACACAATAAACTGACTTAAGAAGATGTGGATTTTAAGACGAGATTTAAAAGTATCTACATTATCAGATGAACGGAATTTCCAACGGTAGGGAATTCCACAACCGTGGCGCAGATTAAGCAAATGCCCGTTCAATTCAGTTGCTTCGATGAGCAGTAATTATCTGCGGACTAAAATATAATACGGATGTAGCAGAGTATAAATGCTGTTACAATATATTACTATTGTCTATTTAATTCACTTATTTCTACACTGCTAACCTTTGTCGGCGCAATAATTGTGATCATTACAGATTTGACTTGGCTTAATAAAGGAATTGCTTTGATGACAATAACTTCTCTTCCTGATATTATCCATGGCCTTTGGACAGGTTCTGACGGCACTGTCCCTAACCGTTGTGCCACCACTCCACCGTCAAACATAATATGAATGCGCATTTACTCCTGCTGAAATGAAACTGTGTACGTGAATATTTGCCACAGCCTACGCTCCCCCACTGCTCTAACTGCTCCGATTACCGCCGCACGAAACTTCCGTTTTAATTGTTCACCTACGCAGAGCGAGGGGGCGAAGACGTTTTTATTCCCTCTCGAAGCAATCGCAGAAAGACCTCGCGATGAGTGAGGAGCGGCCGATGACACTGTGTAACAATTTTTTTTGTTCCTGGGTAGTAAGTGTTATTTCCTAATTGCTTATGCCTCAAAAGTACATACAATAGCTATTATTGCCCACGAACTTTGCTCAGCACTGAATCTATCTGGAATGTTCTGAAAAACAGGTAAACTTCAAAACATCACTGTCCTGGTCACAAAAGCAAAGTTTGCGGGGAATAATAGCCATTTTCTCTAATTTTTAGGCATAAGCAATTACGAAATAATACTCACTACCCAGGATAAAAAATTGTGTTACATAGTGTGATTAAAGCAGCGCGCGTGAAGATATGTTCGATATATGAAGCTTATGGCGGGTCCCCAGGGTCCCATAAGCCCCCGGCTCTCGCATCAACTGCATTGCGACGTCATGTTACGTCTGTTGAAGGCGAACAACACAGCAATCTGTTCCTCTCGACGAGCTCTACACTACGCGCTAATCAAAGTTTCGCTTGTTCAGCTCTTCTGCGCATTCGACCTCGCTACGCTTGAACGACACGACAACAGAATAATCCGCGCCAGGTGGGTTGCGGCGTTAATGTACGCGGTGGGACGGAGTCGCCAAAAATAGATGAATTAATTAGGATTTCGACTTCCGTTTATTCGGGACCCTGGGGTCGCGCCATAAGGTTATATAAAATATATAAATAGAGATTGTAGTTATTTCAGCAGGAAGGGTCCAATGAGCTGCTGGGCTCCATATCATAGGCATCTTGGGATGGTACAGACGTTATGCAGTTGCTTACATCGGTCGTAATGCAAACGGCAAGTATCAGCACGCTCGTGACATGTCACCGACGTATGTTGAACTTCTTTCGCAACGTACACTGCCGACCTTGCTCATCGGAGGCGGATTACATTCTTCACGAACAAAAATAAAGGAAATGAAACCAGGAGATAATTGGACAAAGATAAAACACGATGAGTAACCGGGAAAGCCTAAGTACGATCCTAACACACACACACACACACTCGGGCTCAACTTGTCGCATGCACGTCTGTGAAAGGAGCTTGACTTGCAGCAGTTGAACGGAGGCCTCTCGGCAACGATCATCGACATTCCGAATTCAAGGCGACAGCTGTCGCTCAGCGAACCCAGACGACCCATGCACGGGTGTTGGAGGAGGAGGCTGCTGTACATTCCCACGCGATAAGAAGTCACTTCGTTGAGCTACCATTTTCGATGGCCAGGTCGCCATCTGAAAAAGAGCTACGTAGCTCAGTGGGGCCTTACCTGGTAAATTTTAAAACATTGTTTAGTTTAGTTCTCGTCGCGCGTGCCAAGCGCGGAGGTTTTGTTAGGATCTCCAGAGAGGTGGTGGCGACGGCCGCGTGGGTCAGGGGTCAGGGGTCAGAGCACTAAGACAGCATGGCGGATATCCTGGGTTTGAATCCAGGTGTCACCCGCCCGCAGTTGAACAGGGCTCTCCCGGGCGGAGCGGGTTGATGGTTTCAGCTCGGTCACCAAAAAAAGTTCTGACTTTGTGGATTTTTTCCATAAAGGATATGTAACTCTGTGGGCTTTACTTAGTAAAATAAAAAACATAGTTTGCAGTTCAGTTGTCGGCTGTGCTGGGTGTGGGCGTACCAGGCTGGGCGGCGTACGAGACGGCGCTGGCGGCGGTGGTGCCAGCGCGTGCCGACTGCACGGCTCCCGACGACGAGGAGGAGGTGGCGGCGGCGTCCTCCCGCGTGACGCTGCGGTGCAGCAGCTCCGTGAGCGACGCGATCTGCCTCTCCATCGACTCCATGCGCTCCCTGCCGTGGAAAAAAGACAAAGATACCCCCTATAGCCTTAACAGACTGTTGGGGCAAGTGCTGTTCAATCACTATTTAGATTTTGCCAGGTAAGGCCCACAGCATACATAGCTCTTTTTCAACGAAGTAGCTTATCATGTCGAAATTTATAGCAGCCAAATACTGTAAACCAAAAAAATTCGACGAGGCACCGCAAACTCCAAACATACAGCAGGCGTCAGGGTCGCGATCGAACCCACGACCTCCTGTATACCAGGCGAGGTAGTTAACATAGCCTAGCCGCCGTGGCGCCCTCTCTTCCCCGCCACGAACCGAACCTCCAGGGGGGCGGGGGGCTCTCCCCCGGTGTCCCGGGCCGCGCCACTCACCGCGTCTCCCTGTCATCGACGTGGCCGATGGGCCTGAATGGCGTGACGGTGCCGGTGTCGGAGGAACCCACCGACACCTTCCGTCGCTGCTGCTCGGGGGGCAGCGTGGCGGTGGCGGCGGCCCCCCACGCCGGCGCCCAGCGCCGCCCGGCGCCGAAGTCGGACTCGTCCAGCGCGATGGGCACCACGGTGCGCGGGGCGAGCGACGCCTGCAGGGCGTGCAGCGACGCGGGCGGCGTACGCGACCGCGCGTGCTGCTGGTGCTGGTGCTGGTGGCCGCCGCCGGTGTCGTGGCCGCGCCACTGGGATGAGCCGGCGTAGGCGCGCGGCAACGCCGAGTCGTCCCACGGGCCCGAGCGGCCGCCGCGGTCGCCGGCCGAGTAGGAGGAGGCGACGGCGTGGCCCGATGCCGCCAGGCTGTAGCGGCCGCCCCCACCTCCGACGGTGCCGACGGTGCCGACGAGTGCCTGCGGTGGGACAATGGGTCAAGGCGCAGCTCTTCAATGACTCGCCCCCCCCCCACGTCCCTCGTCGTCCTCCCCACCCCCCGCCCCCCGCACCTCCGTTAAGCACAGTTGGCCACGTCCGGTGCGAAAGAAGTGAAAGATACGTACTGCCGGCGGAAGGGCTTCCCCCGCTGGAGGGAGCTCGGAAGCCACCTCGACAGAATACTTTGGGGCCTACTTTTTTGCACCGGCCCGACATCTGGGAGGAGGTGGGAGGACCCACGCTTGGCCCCACCGCAAGAACCATCGGCTCGCTGTGGGGTGCTCGTTTACACCGCCGGGGTGGAGCAAGCGGGGGGTTCGGGAAACTCGCCGCGTCGCTTCCACCGCCGCTGCCACGCCGGGAGATAATAAAAAATCTCCACCATTGCGCACTGCCATTTTTGGTCTTCGTCAGTGCACCACAGCCTCGAATAACATCTCAGCCTGTATCGTAATTCAGACTCCGAGATGTTAACTCCCTGGCCTGGTATACAGGATACAGGAGGACGTGGGTTCGATTACAACCCCTGACACCTGCTGTGTACTTGAAGTTTGCGTGTCTCTCTCCCCGTGGTCGCGTGGAATTTTCTCCGGGTCCTCTGGTGTTTTAGGGTGCCTTATACATATCCAATTGAGAAAAATGTTGCGCATCGAGGAAAACAACCTGATGAGGCAAGCAGTGATGAGAAATAAACTGGCACCATTTGTTGCATGGACAACAACAGGAAAATTACAAGCGTGTTTCTTCAGAAGAATGGAAGGATCCGGAAAGAGAGGAAGACCTCACAGAGACTGGCTTGACGACCACGTGGCCACTACCTGAGCCATATTGGCACTAAGACAGAGGAGGAGAGTGGAAACAACAAATGACGAAACGCACAGTAGACACCAATGGGGCTATCTGCCCATGTCGTCGTCGTCACGATCCAACACGAACCCAAACCCATAGCAAACGTCGCCGCGAGAAAAATCGGCCTGCGCAAACCGCTGCTTGCCTGAGGTTCGCAGCCGTGGAAATCTCCGGAAGGGGCCGGGGATCGGGGGGTGCGGGGGCTGGTGGGGGGTGGTGCGGTAGGGGTGGGTGCTGACCTGCGGGTAGTGCAGGGAGCGGGGGAGCGGGGGCTGGTGGGGGGTGGGGCGGTGGGGGTGGGTGCTGACCTGCGAGTAGTGCAGGGAGCGGGGGAGCGGGGGCTGGTGGGGGGTGGGGCGGTGGGGGTGGTTGCTGACCTGCGGGTAGTGCAGGGAGCGGGGGAGCGGGGACTGGCGGGGGCTGGTGGGGGGTGGGGCGGTGGGGGTGGTTGCTGACCTGCGGGTAGTGAAGCGAGCGGGGGCTGGCGGGGGCTGGTGGGGGGTGGGACGGTGGGGGTGGTTGCTGACCTGCGGGTAGTGCAGGGAGCGGGGGGGCGGGGGCTGGTGGGGGGTGGGGCGGTGGGGGTTGGTGCTGACCTGCGGGTAGTGCAGGGAGCGGGGGGGCGGGGGGGCGGGGGCTGGTGGGGGGTGGGGGTGGGTGCTGACCTGCGGGTAGTGCAGGGTGCCGGCGTCGCTGCGCACCAGCAGCACGTCGCGATTGCGCAAGTCCTCGTCGGGGCGGACGTCGCGCCGCTCCAGGATGGAGCCGAGCGCCGCCACGGACGAGGTAGAGGCCGTCGGCGACGGCGGCCCGAAGAAGGCGGCCGCTGGGGAGAAGGCGCTCGGGCCCTGGATGCCCGAGATGAATCCGGCGACGGCGGAGGACTGCTGCAGCTGCTGCTGCTGCTGCAGCTGCTGCTGCCGCTGCTGCAGCAAGTAGTGGCGCTGAGCGGGGGACTGCGGCACGGTTGGCGTGGCGGAGCCGGAGAGGGAGCCGTGTCGGTAGCCGCCGACGCTGTGCGAGCGTCGCGCCGACTCCTCCTGGGCAAGGAAAGATGACAAGACGGTTAAAGAATGGAATGAAAGTCAGAAGCGCCCGGCTGCTATTAAAACTATTTAAACTTTTTTTTATTTTAACTTGATACAAATAAAATAAAAATCACGACGTTTCGGAGGCAACACAAGCTTTCGTCTTCAGGTGGAACCGTCACAGCACGATTGCTGTATCAAGTAAGACTTGATACAGCAATCCTGCTGAAGACGGAAGCTTGTGTTGCCTCCGAAACGTCGTGATTTTAATTTTATTTTTATTTCACTTTTATTAATTTAAATTTTTTACCTACGTGACTTTACCGAAAAAAAAAGACAAAAGCCAAATGGCAATGATGTAAATAGACATAAGAACAAAAACAACTGCACGACACAAGGAATCGGACAAAATTGCAAATATAAATCGTTGTTAAATAAAGGTGAAATATATTAAGTTCGCTGCAGTGGAAACCGGATCGGGCAGATTATCTCCCGGCTGATGACAGCGCAAATTACAACTGGCCGTCATAGCCTGTATAGGGCGGCCAAAGTACGAATCAGTAAACAAACAAGGATCTATATATTCTAGATTTGAAGCTTTCTTGACTGCAAGGATTCATACTCTTAGGTTCTTTCAGTAAAGTCACGTAGGTCAAAAAATAATAAAAAAATAAAATAATAATAAATGAAAAGAACTAAATTACACGCTACAGTGATTTTACTGGAGCAGTTACACCGGATGACAGAGGCTTGTGTTGCTTCCGAAACGTCGTGATTTAATTTAGTTATTTTCATTCATTATTATTTTATTTTTATTATTATTTTACCTACGTGACTTTACCGAAAGAACCTAAGAGTAAGGATCTATATATATATCAAATAAATAAAAGCTAAATGCAATTAGAGAGACTGACACAAGCATCTTAATGTGATGAACATCAAACAACACATGAACAATGAAAACTATAATATCGTCTTGATTTGAAGCTTTCGTGACTGCAGGAATCCATACTTTCTGGTTCTTTCGCTAAAGTCACGTGGGTAGAAAAAATAACAAAACAAAACACGACGTTTCGGTCGCAATACGAGCGTCCGTCTTCAGGTGGACGCTTCTGTTGCGACCGAAAAGTCGCGTTTTCTTTTGTTATTTTTTCCTACCTACATGACTTTACCGAAAGAATCAGAGAGTAATATTAATACTGCTCTTTTACAAACTTCATTCGGAACGCACCCCATCTCTGCAGCTCTCAAAAGCTAAGCGGGGGGGGGGAGTTCATCCTGGTAACAATTCAACGTGCGAGCGGCACACGTAACACGGCTGCAGTAGGCGCCGTGGCAAAGAAGGGGGGCATTGCAGCAATAGCCCAGGGCACCGTCAGCCTGCCCCTAGTCCGTTCGCACCTGACCCCGGGGGGCTTGTCATTCACGTTCCGCACGGTTTCTCCTATCAACGCGGCAGTAGCTGCGTATTCCTGAAGAACACCGCGTTACGGGGAAAATCGCGGTGCAATGAGTGCGGTACGGGGTAAAAGCACGCTCCGCGCGCGAACACGTCAGATGCGTACGCGGGCTCAACAAAGACTGACGGCGCCGTGGGTAGCGTCTAGAAGCATCCAGCAGCATCCCGCCTTGTGCGACGAAGCTACGTCGAAGGCGGGCGCGTGACCGCCCGTTCCTTCTCAGCGGCGTTAGATCCAAGTCCCATCCCCATTATAAACAGACGTGTTCCCCGATACATTCATCGCGTTATATCCAATTGGTGTGATGAAAACAATTCGCGTTATAGGAGAACAGACCTGTATTGGGCTCTTAAATAACTAATAAAAACATCGCTCGTGCACATGTCCGCTGTGATGGTCTCCCAACGCTTACCCACACGTCTCCTCCGTTCACCGCCTGGGGCTGTCTGCTGACGGGGGCCCTGAAACCGACCTTCAGGGTGGCCTTGTTTGTTATCTCCCTGGAACATTGAGATGATAATCGGACAGGACGATCAGTGCGACTGGATTAAACGTGGCAGTAAAAAAGAAAACGCGTGTAGAACATGCGACCGGGTGTGATGTTCACCGTATAAATGCATACCGCGTAGAATTGACATGTGAGTGTGTGCGTGCGTTATGTGTTGGTCATGCAAGGCATTAATCCTGGATAACCGGGTGAATATTTGTTTTTAATAATCAGAAACAGAATATTTATTTATACTGAAGGAATCCGATGAGCTATAAAGCTCTTTTCCACAGATGTCCAGTAGAGGCGGGTAAGAACGTCACAACAACAAACAATGAAACGATTATAGTAGTGCAAAGTACAACAAAGGTAAACAAATCAACAAACACATACAAATAAATTAAACCATCCCTACCCTACCAGACGAAGCCCCACTGAGGCATTCACTTACTTTTCAGAAGCAACCTGGCCACAAATGATAGCTCAACAAAGTGTCTTGTAATGAAATTTGGACATTTATAGCAGCAAAATGATCGAAACACCCTAAACGCACGTTTCTAAACGTGTAGGAGAAAACGGACAACCCGAAGAAGCGAATCCAATATATACATATTACCCGCTCTGGACGTGCGAATCACCAACACGGACGCCGACAAAGCAAATGGACACTGGCAAAGAACAAAAGCCAAGGCCTGCGCAGAGCAGCCAAGGAAACGGTGCACGCCTGCGGTTACGATGCTGAGAGACGCCAAGAGGGCCACAAAATTGGAGGAAGCGGATCCCACAGAACTACTTCCGAGTGACCCTCGATCCACCCACCCGGCCGCACGGTAACATTTGTCACTGGGCAGTCAAACCGATGTTTTTAATTCTCAAGAGACGGTTTATCACCCAATAAAGTTAAAAAGCCCAATTTAACATGCTGGGTGGTTGTGCTGAAAAGCAGCCTGAGACCACCAACTGACTTGACTTGAGAATCCCAGTTTTTTCAATTCCTGTCGATCAGCCAGTTTGAGTTTCATCCATTTCCAACATTAACCTTTCAAATCCGTTCTGCCGTTGATGTTAATTATGGTGAGACAGACAGTGCTATGTAAAACTACATTTTCTTAAATAAATATGATACCCACGTTGCAGCATGAAAGTCAACGGATTGGCTGGACTTGACAACCAGGTTCAATCGTAGGCGGCTGACACCCAGATCCTCACCCAGAGCGTCACCGGTGCCGTGACACCCAGATCCTCACCCAGAGTGTCACCGGTACCGTGATACCCAGATCCTCACCCAGAGTATCACCGCTACTGTGACACCCAGATCCTAACCCAGAGTATCACCGGTGCCGTGACACCCAGATCCTCACCCAGAGTATCACCGGTGCCGTGACACCCAGATCCTCCCCCAGAGCGTCACCGGTGCTGTGACACCCAGATCCTCACCCAGAGTATCACCGGTACCGTGACACCCAGATCCTCACCCAGAGTATCACCGGTACCGTGATACCCAGATCCTCACCCAGAGTATCACCGCTATTGTGACACCCAGATCCTAACCCAGAGTATCACCGGTGCCGTGACACCCAGATCCTCACCCAGAGCGTCACCAGTACCGTGACACCCAGATCCTCACCCAGAGCGTCACCGGTGCTGTGACACCCAGATCCTAACCCAGAGTATCACCGGTACCGTGACACCCAGATCCTCACCCAAGTATCACCGGTACCGTGATACCCAGATCCTCACCCAGAGTATCACCGCTATGTGACACCCAGATCCTAACCCAGAGTATCACCGGTGCCGTGACACCCAGATCCTCACCCAGAGCGTCACCGGTACCGTGACACCCAGATCCTCACCCAGAGTATCACCGCTACTGTGACACCCAGATCCTCACCCAGAGTATCACCGGTGCCGTGACACCCAGATCCTCCCCCAGAGCGTCACCGGTGCTGTGACACCCAGATCCTAACCCAGAATGTCACCAGTACCAGGCTTGCCGGAATTGTCCCATGAGCTACATATATGTTGAACTTCTATCGCACCATACATAACCAACCGTGCTAAATCGGAGGACGCGTGGGAAGGACAACAAACTACACACAAAAAGCAGTTCCAAAACAAATGAGTTTTAAATCTAGATTTGTAGACTGAGACGAGCACATCAACTCTGCGGCTCCCAAGCCACTTAAAAAGTTAGAAACCTCCCCAACTCGGAAGGATCAACGGGATGACAGTTTTTGAGGGAACCTCAGTGCCTACCGTAGGTCGGAGAGGAGGCGGAAAGTGGCGGTGGACCCAGCGTCGCGCAGGAGAAAGGCGGCGTCCGGGGCCTCCAGCGCGGCCATGCTGAGCATGTCCGGGAAGGCCTTGACGAAGAGGGCACGCACCGTGTCCAGCGTGGTCACCGCGTTGGGCATCACGGTCTGCCGGGTCTCCCCGCCGTAGTGCAGGAACAGCACGCCTGCACGAACCCGAAACAAACACACACATACAGACACACAGATTCGTCTCCGCTCGCACGGCCGGCCGGGTTGTCTTGCCGCGCGGCCCAGAGGATTATTTTAATATTATTGTTTCATTATTTTCTTAATATACTTTTGATTATATATTTTTCCTACTGTAGTACCTGAGCAGCACCGCTGACATCACACGCAATGAACGAGTCTAGTGGTTTTTTATATATATATATATAAGAAGATGAACTGAAGGAACCCTGCCACCCTGGCCCTGCTTGGCCCCCCAACCGAGCCAGATTCATGTATCTCTCATTTAAAAAAAGAAAATTTAATCAAATATATCACTGGGAAATTCCAGATGGAACACCCAAAATAGGCGAGTTGAGACGTGATTAAACGACGCAGCCTAGGATTCAGATCTCTCACGAGAACAGCGCGGTCACGGCTCAGTTCTGGCTCGGTACAAAAAAACCAGCCCCAGTGGAAAACCACCCCATGCCCGGCTCGGATGTGCCAGTGGAAGCGGGGTAAACGATGTCCTGCGTGGCCCGCATGGACCGTTGAGGCAAGTGCCGTTATAAGCGAGCGCCTACGAAGGTCGGCACGGGGCAGGCACAAAAAGGGTGGTGTGGACAGCGACAATCTTGGCCCCCCTTAGTGGTGATGATGATTTACACACTGCACCAGGAGCTCATTTAGGACCAAGTCAGTCTTGAGGGGGGGCTCAGGAGGCCCATTTTTTTGACCCATGGAAGGCAAGGTTGAAAATGGGCTCAGTCCAATCCCTCCGTGAGTAAGCCGTTTGCTTCAAACACGGAGCACAGCGAGCCAAAATGACGTCAGGCATTCATAATTCAGGCCGAGTTGACCTAGGGGCGAGTGGGTATCTCGGAAGCCAAGCACGACCTGAGCCTGAACCACCACGCAGTACGGAGAGCACAGAAAAGCACAGACACAGCAGCCATCGTTGCGGAGTAGATCTGTGTGCCCCGTGTCTATGCTCCCCACCACTGCTCCCAATCAAATAGGTTGATCGCGTCAGCATGAACACGTGACCAGGGTCGATGGTGCCCGGCTGCAAAGGACGGCGGTGGCGGCCACCGTGGCAGGAGCTAGCGGAGGTAGGAAGACGGCGAGCTGACGGGACGTCGAACGTCGTCAAACGGCCGACGGGATGGAAGCCGCCTCACTTGAAAGAGCGCGGCGACGGACAACAGAGAAGTGGAGAGATGCGGCAAGGAGATGTCGGTGAAGGGAAGCGGTCCGTGCGGCACCACAACGGCTCAATAGGCCAAAGGGACTGGGAGAGGAACACGGCGGAGGCCGAACGAGAATGTGCTCCGCCGGACGGCGGCGGTGGCGGCCGGCGTGCCACTCGTCCAGGCTTCCCAGGAGAGTCAGGCCTGGCAAACGTCGAGCCCTGGAGTGGAGCGTCGCCGACGTCGCCGACGTCGCCTTCTCGGTGAGGGCACGCCCGCCGAACCTGGCACGCCCGCTGAACCTGGCGGGCGACTCGATGTGATGGGCTCACACGGTGACGTCAACTTCACTCCCCATCAATTTAAGACCGGAAGCAGGAAGACTTCTCCACAATTCTGGCTAATCGCCTGATGAAGCTGCTTGTTGTAGTCCTCGGCGAAACGTCACTGTACTTGAGAATTGTACATTCTGTGGGTTTACTCTCTCATCACACTCGCTGTGCTGATGTAGTCACTAATTGTCACGTTTGTTTACGTGACAAACCCACACCTGTCAACCCACACGGTTTTACCCCGGATTCTTGTACAGGGAAATTGAGTGTTCTGGTCCATACGGCGTGCAGCCGTTTCAATACGGGCAACAACAAACATAGTCTGTGTTTCTCCCTTGTGATGGGACTTTGTAGGATGAACGTTGAGATTTATAAGGGCACGGGGTGACCACTAAGGTCTCTGATAAGGGGTTGACAGGCATGCAAACCTGTCGGGTGGTGGCGCGTTTAACAACACATTTATATTCACGCAATCCAACCCCCCCGAAAAAACGTTTTATTATCGACGCCAAGTGTGTCAGCCCACCAAGCCGGAGACGGGAGATGCCACGGAAGAAAAAAAAAGTCGCTGCTTCGCTGAACACGGCATTATAAATGCCGGTTTCGTTAATGGTGAAAAACAGGGCTGTTTTTCATTAGAATTTAGACATTTCTGCCACGTGCCTTTTTGGGTCACATATTTCAAAGACAGATTCCACGGTTTGGAGAATCCAGGGCAGCCACCCAAGATTAACTCAGCCATTCGCAGAAGCCGCTGCCGCCGCTGCTGCTGCTGCTCGAAAACACGTGAATGCCGCTTTGCTAAATTTGCACATGTCTGCACGGGCAGCCCTCTTTGTCAACGCCACTGCCCAGGGTGAGGACCTCACCGTGGCATGAAGCTCGTGGGGGTAAATTGGTCATACTTCACCGTGCTGGTCAGTGCACGCTGGTGAAGGCGGAAGCATGCGTTTGGGGACTTTGGAGTAAAAGTACAGGAGAATTAGAGTACAACGGTAGATTTTGTTACCGCACTGCCCTCTGCAGCCCACAACACAGCCCCGTCGATAGCCTGCCTGTGCGTGGCAGTCACCCTTCCAAGTACTACCCAGGCTCACACCTGCTTAGCTTCGTGCGATTCGGTCACAGCCCTCCCAAAACGATCTCGCTAAAATTCACAATTCCCCTGTCTGCTTCGTCCTCTCTTCTCGGTCGTGAAAGATCGGCCGTCATCCCACCTTACCGAGCGTTTTCTCTTTGCTCTGGTTGGCCGAGCGGACGACAGGAAGTGACACGCGCTGTTTGGTCCCTCTGATGAACCTGGGGTCGTTCTCCGACATCACATCCGGCCCCCCCTTCATGGGCCGGTAGGGGCCGAAGTCGGTGTCGGCGGCCTGCATGGCGTCCTGCTCGCACGCGTTCACAAGGGATGCAAACACAAAGACAAAGTTCCCCCGTGAAGCCTGTAACAGACCGTTGGGGGCGAGTGCTGTTAGCGAGCGCCTATGATGGTTGGCATGGCAACCTTCATAGGATGGGTTGCCAGCACCACGCCCGGCCACCTTTTTTTCGAGCCAGTGCTTATATTTACACAGCGCACCAGGTACTCATTTAAGGCTGAGTCGATCTAGGGGAGGCACAGGATTGGTTCAAATGTTCACCGCTATTATTGGGCATGAGCGGCAATCGAACTTGGGTCACTGGGTTCGTTGCGCAGCGCGGTTTCGGAATCGGAATCTTTATTAATTGTGGAGAAACCCGATGAGCTATGAAGCTCATTATCACAGATGTCCGGCAGTAACCGCTAACGCTACCCCACTAAGGAGCGTGCACACCCCCACACACACACACCGTAACAACACCTTCAACGGAACCTTACTGACGGCAGAGGCAAGTGCTCTTAGCGAGCACCTATAGTGCGGTGCCATCAGCACCACTCCGGAGGTGCCTTTGCGTCTCCTCGGCGCCGATAGTTGAACACACCACACTGTCTTGGCGGCCGACCATGTCCCGCCAGGCACGAGTGCGACTACACGACCGTCATGATAATGGGCAAGGCCGGAAACTGAAGCCAAGGTTTGCCCAACTGACGTCGCCAACACGTCCCTGAGCAACGTGGTGAAGTATGGTCAAATAACTCCCGTGACCGTAAACACACACACACACAGCCCTCAATGCCGCCGCCCTGCAAAGACAAACTTGGCAAGACCCTCCTCCAAAGAATCATGTTGCGTGTAGTCATTTTAAGATGTTTCTTATGCTTTTGTTTGTTGCGGTTGCACCCGAGTCAAGAGCCGCATGGCTCACAGGGTTATACCTAATAAATGAAACTGAAACTGTAACTACAATAATAGAGATGCAATTAAAATGTGATTTGTTTGTGTACGTAGTGGTAGGTACGGTACTGCTGGAGGCACAGGCGAACATATGACAGACACAACATTGTTTTGATTAAGTTTATACAAAAACCTATACACTGAAGTTGACGTAGTAACATCCAACAACGTATCATGATAAAATAGTTGCACTGACCATTTGCACTATCGACTTAGCGCATAACGTCACACATTAGTTCCTGAGCAACAGAGTTGCAACAGAGTTGCTCAAAAACTAACTCTAAACAATGTTTTTGTTTTACCAGGTGAGGCCCACTGAGCTACGTAGCTCTTTTTCAGAAGTGACATGCTCACAAATGATTGCTCAACGAAGTGGCTTATCATCACGTGGAAATGTATAGCAGCCAAATACTCGAAACGCATGACGTCAATTCGAAATTTTTATGGAAAAACTGGAGGACCCGGAGAAGCACAGCAGGCGTCAGGGATCGGGATCGAACCCACGACCTCCTGTATACCAGGCGAGGTAGTAAACATCTCACCACCCTGGCTCACTTGTTTCAGACTCACACGGCCCGTCCGGATGCCTCAAGCCGATGCGAGACGAGTCTGTGTGCTTCGAGGTCAAGGCGGAATGAATGATGCGTACGGAATAATAACGTTAAAGGAATGGGAAAATAAACCACACCCAAAACCATTCTGATTCTCTCCGTACAACTCTTTCTCTGAGTTCGAGCTGAACTCTTTCAGGCATCGGACAGTCGGGATCGAACCCACGACCTCCTGTATACCAGGTGAGGTAGTTAACATCTTGCCACCTCGGCACCACCGAGTCTAAATTACGATGCAGCCTGAGATGTTATTCGAGGCTGCGGTGCGCCGACGGAGACCAACAATGGCGGTGTAACGGTACGCAACGGTGGAGATTTTTTGATCTCCCGGCGTGGCAGCGGCGGTGGAAACGACGCGGCGAGTTTCCCCAAACCTCCCCGCTTGCTCCACCCCGGGTCGCGCCGCTCACCTGCAGGTCGGGCTGGCTGCGCAGTCCGCTGAGCCGCACGTGGGCCCCGCCCGCTGTCGCCGCCGCCGCCGCCGCCGCCGCTTGGGGTCGCGCTGCCGCCGGGCCGGGGTCGTCGACGAGCCGCACGCCGATCACCGTGTGCCGGCGGTTGTCGCGGGCCGCTCGCTCCGCCGCCACTCCTCCTCCACGCTGCCGACCGGCGACGACGACGCCGACGCGGCCGCCGCCGCGACAGCGCCCATTGCCCGCTGGGCCGGCGTTGGCGACAACCGCGCGCGGAGACCGCACGCGGGGCCCGCACTCTGTCGGCACAGGGAAAGAGGGGGAGGGTGAGGAAGGCAGGGGTCGCGCGCGGGGTCACACGCACGGTGCTGCCAGCCCGCCCACCGCGGTGCCGAGACGCTATCCACCTCGCCTGGCACACGGGAGGTCGCGCGTTCGATCCCGACCCTGACGCCTGTGAATTTGGAGTTCACACGTTTCTCTCCCTGTGGTCGCGTGCATTTTTCTCAGGGTCCTCCACATTTATAATTGACATCGTGCGTTTAAGAGTATTTGGCTGCTATGGAATTTCCAGAACACCGCTTTCTCTCTCTCTCTAACTCTGTAGATTCCACGCTACGACTCCCTGCACAGATCTCCGGGTCGACGGCGCTCATTACACCACACTCGCGTGTTTTTAATTTCGAGGACAGCAGAAAGCAATTACTGGATTCCGTTTCAACGCGACGGTGGCCACCCACCCGCCCATCACCATCGCCGCAGACACAAAGGGGGAGGTGGGAAATTCTTGGCCGCAACCGATGGAACATCTGGCCACGGGTTTCGTGGCGTCTGGGTCATGTTTTACGGCACTTTTAATTAGCGAAGGGGGGGGGGGGGCATCGCGTGACGCGAGCACGCCTGCAATTGCGCTCTAACAAATCACCGGTGGCCGCAACAATGAACACGGACGTCTCGGGCAGCAGGCCGCTGCCACCTTTGGGCCCTGTGCGGGGTTCAGAGACGGGCTGGATGATAATAATGTTGGGAGCCAAAACTTACGGGAGGGCAGCCTGATATATTATATACTCTTTAGAGTCCAAGATGAACTTAATCCAGACAAACGAGACTACACTCTGCATTAGAAGTGACCGAGTCCGCCTATGTATGTGTGTATGTTGAACATCTTTGGCACCGTACATAGCCAACCGTGCTAATAGTGATCAAGATGCAGCGCAAACGACTACAATTTCACATTCAGGTGCTCCAGCCTGATAACAGCGTCAGGAGCGGTGGAGAGTATCATCGCTGCGACGTCTCCTTCGTATTTGTGGATAGGGGGAACTCCGTCGTCTGACGTTGTACGGTCTGTTCTGGGTGACCACGGTCGCACACTGGAGAGTTTTTAATTTTACATTTGCGCATCAGGGTGTCCGCATCTGCTGCTGCCATGGTTTATGCAGTGGATGCAGTTTTAGGGTGGACAACGAGCTTCATGGAAGATCAAAACCCAGGGGATCTTACGCATTGGGTCTTTCACAACCAGGCGTTTGTTTGCGATGTCTTCTGAACTCCACTCAGCTGGCCACTGAGCCTGGGCGAAGGTTCGATTCCTGCTACGGCCAGCCAGGAATTCCCCTGACGCGCCACCGGCTCATCCCACCGCCAGCGAGGCGGAGGGAACGGTTTAAGTTAAGTTTCAAGTTCTACTTTGTGCACTCAGGTGAGAAACTCAAAGAGACCAGGGATGGAGTGACCCCGGGGTCACCCAACCGACGAAATCAAAACAAAATAAAGGACAGCACGGGCAAGGGGGGGGGGGGGGGGCAAATAAACGCAACGCAGTCCTCGAGCATCAGAGAAGGCCATCACACTTGAGTTGCAATGTTTAAAATAACTAGAATATCAAGGGCCATAGGCGAATGGCTTCTTAGCATTTTGCGCCTTGCCTGTCGCACCCACTGATGTCCGATCCCGACCCTGATGCCTGCCGTATATTGAGTTTGCTTGTCTCTCCCTGTGGTCACGTGGGTTTTTTTCCCTCTACATTTAGAATCAACGTGCATTTTAGAGTATAAATTTATACACGAGGATATGCCATTTCGTTGAGCTATCGTTTGTGACGATAGCTCTATATAGCTCTGGGCATTAGCTGCTGAAATAAAATAAAAAGTTTGGTTTATATTTAATGACAGTCAAACTCATTAATTTTTTTTTACTCAAGAGTGAATTTTTTTGTCAAATTTAACTTGCTCTTTTTTGGGGGGCAGTCATTAGCGAGCGACCAAGCTGAGACCATCACCTCTGCTAACCGCGAGAAGACGCTTGTACCCCGATGTAGCCCCACACCCGGTTTCAAACCCTCCGCTCCCAAATCTGAGCCGGCCACAGTGTCAACCGTCGCACAAACGCCGTGTTCAAAGTTGCCGGTTGGAACATCTAAAGTATGTACGGGTTATCCAGGTCGTGACGATTACAACCGCGCACAGGGACATCCCATTCTAACGAGCAACGGCGAAAAGATTGCACAGCACAGCCCCTTATTAAGGAGGGAAATGAATCAGCCCTCCCCGTAATTTGCCGAATCGTCGCAATCTAGGATCACGATCCGATTCCATTCAATGCAGCATGTAGGAATCGAAGAACATGGGCCGCTGCACACGTGTATCGTGAGCTCAAGAATTCTATTTGTAAAGACCGTGCTTCATAAAACACAAGGCGTGCGAGGGTTGTGTGTATGTGTACGACACTCGTTTAAGAGTTACGCTCAGTGAGAGAAATCCATTTACCCTTCGGCCCCCCCCCCCCCCGCTTCACAAAGCCCCCCCCCCACCCCCCGTCGCCCCCTCCTTCTGCGTGACTCACTCAGCAAACTCGTGGAAGGTCACGCGACCTCGGTGTACGGCACCGCAGTGACAAATCCACTGCCGAATAATCTCGATTATTTTAAAAGGTTCGCTTTTTCGTTCAGCGATTTCTTGTTTCTTTCTTCCTTCGAGGTAAAGTAAAAATATTAAACGAAATTTGTTTTGATATTTTATTTTACCAGGTAAGGCCCACTGAGCTATGCAGCTCTTCTTCAGAAGCGAGCTGGCCATAAATGATAGCTCAAATAAGTGGCTCATGACGTGGAAATCTGCAGTCGGCAAAAAAATATAAAACGCGTGCTGTCGATTCTAAACGTGGAGGGGAAAACAAAAATGGCCCGGAGAAAAATCCACACGACCACGGGCAGAGAGAGACACGCAAAAACTCAAAATGTACAGCAGGTGTCAGGGTCGGGATCGCACCTACGATCTCCTGTATACCAGGTGAGGTAGTTAACATCTCCTAGCCACCGTGATGATGAGAGAGGGGCACGCAAAATTCCAAATATACAGCAGGCATCCAGGTCGGGATCGCACCTACGACCTCCTGTATACCAGGCGAGGTAGTTAACATTCTAGCCACCGTGATCATGATGAAAGAGAGAAAGAGGCAAGCAAAATTTTAAATATACAGCAGGCGTCAGAGTCGGGATCGAACCCACGACGAGGTGGTTACCATCTCCTAGCCACCGTGACCTTCCAAAGCGGTACCGTGAATTCCCCAGAACACGATTGCACCAACTCGCTCGGTCGCAATCCAAAACTTTGCCTCCTTCTCCTCTCTCTCTCTCTCTCTGGCCGCTGCCAAAAACACAATTTTGTAAATTCCACCGGGAGCTGTGGTGCGTGCGGCTCACACCCAGCCAGGCGGTGATGCAACAAGTAGGTCCACTCACCACCAATGCATTTTGTTTTTTGGTAGCAGTCAGCCCCTTCCCCCTCCTGCTTTGGAAGTGCATTTCCCATTGATCACATTCCGTCCGCCGCCACGATCAGAAAAATACATACAAATACACAAAAGCAGGGCCCTCTTTAAAAGACTCTTGAGACTAGTAATTCATATTGTATTAATATATCTGGCGTCGAGCCCACGGCCTCCTGCGTACTAGGCCAGGGAGATAACATCAAACGCACCGCATTTAATTTGAACGTATCAGGTAATAGTCATTTAAGTAACGCGTGTGAATACATCACAAGGTTCCCATTAGTTTACAGGTGGTTTTGTTAAGTTTTGCGAGTGGCAGAAGAGCCTCTCTGGGTCACTGCGAACGTCAACGCGCAACTCCGCAGACATGCGGGCGGCGTCGCCTGCGGTTCGTGGGGCGCACTCCGAACCCGGCGACCCGGAGTGCAATTGCCGGTTCACGGCTCACATCAGTGGCGAGCGACATACGAGCCGGTGCCGGCTCACCAACCAAAGCCCCCACGCTGCCCAACGTGGAGTCATTATGCTCACATGACCACCCCCGCTCTGCCCGCCACCATGACTGGCAGGCCGTAGGGAGCACTGAAAGTAAACTCAACTATTTTTTTAATTTTATTTTACCAGGTAAGGCCCACTGAGCTATACAGAAGCTCTTCTTTCAGAAGCGACCTGGCAATCACAAATGATAGCTCAACGAAGTGGCTCGTCGTCATGTGAAAATGTAGAGCAGCCAACGACTCTAAACGTGTGACGTTCATTCTAAATCTGGAGGGGGGGGGGGAAGTCCACGCGACCACGGAGAGAGAGAACTGCAAACTCCAAATATACAGCAGGCCTCAGGGTCGGGATCGAACCCACGACCTCCTGTATACCAGGCGAGGTAGTTAACATATTCTAGCCACCGTGATCATGATTAGAGAGAGAGACACACACAAACTCCAAATATGCAGCAGGAGGCGTCAGGCTCGAACCTCCGACCTCCTGCACACCAGGCGAGGGAGAAAACATCTCGCCGCTGCGGCGCCCCTTGACAAAAGGCTGCAGATGATGATTATAATATTCAGACAGACGGGATGATGCAGGAAGGACTAGTGTCTCTGGCCGCAACCCCCAGTGTGGCAGAATAAACGTCCGTTTTGTTCCCTTAGGACAAAAAAAAATACCTTCGGCACGTCGTCAAATTAGGCCGAAATATGTCCCCCCCCCCGCCACCGAGGAAAATGAACAAACTAACCACCGCTGACAGCCGAACAATAAAGCCGCTCATTAGCATCTTGTCATACAGCGGGTGACCCCCGTGACGCTCATGTGTGCGTGTATGTCTGTGTGTGTGTCGAGGTGTGTTCAATTCCCGCTCACGGCCAACACCATTGACGATTATCTGAACCGGTCCTGGGCCTCCGCTACGTTGACTCAACCTGAGCACCTGGTGCGGTGTGTAGTAAACATCGCCACTGGGGAGACAAAGGCGGCCGGGCGTGGGGCTGGCCACCCACCCACCCACCTGCTCGTGTGCCGTGCCGGCCTA